TTGCTGCCAGGCCAGAGCCTATGCTCCTGGCCGAGGACCTGAGGGTAGGCCCTGAGCGGCTTGGGCACGCCTGCCGGCCGGTTCCGTAGGCCCAGCGGCCAGGCTGGCCGGGCTAGCGTTGATCTCAAGGCTGGGCGTCCTCCATCCACTCTGAGGCTCTGCGGGGTACTGGATCTTGTTCCGGCCCAAGTCAAGACCGTTTAGCTCCTTCTGGGATAGGGTTTTGACTTGACGGTACCTCCTCCCTTCTCCGGGGCCGACAAACAGGGACGCCGCGCCTGCGCGCCCCCGGCGGTCGCCGCGGCCCTGTGCCCTCTGAGCGCTTGCCTTCCGGCTCCTCGGCATGCTGGGATACGGAGTCTGTGTACAAAGCCGAGCTGTTTCCGCATAGAACCACAAGTCCCAGAAGCCGTGCGCTCGACCGGTCCCGTAGAAGGCAAGGCGGGGGTGCTTGGGAGTTGTAGTTCTCAGGGTTGACGCCTCCAGTTCTGGGGGAGGGCGGAGGAGCCGGTTAGGGAAGTCGGGGCCAGGATAGGATCGCTGATCTGGAAAAGCGAGGTGTTGAGTGCGCAGCATAGCCTTGGGCCGCACACTTGTCGAGTTCTCTGGAGGGGAGTGACTATTTGTGATTTGTACAGGTGCAGCAGTGTTTTTGTGAGCGGGTACATAAGGATGTTGAACGGTTCTGGGGTGTTGTATCAATGTTCGTGAACTAATGAGAAACTCCGTGGTCTGGCTAGAACCCTTGTTCCGTTATTTGGAGTCAATGTGATATTGACCGAACATTTTTAAAGGGCAATTTCACAGACCTCCAAAATGGTGAGGATTTCAGGCTCCCCCCCCCCCCCCGCCGCCCCCTTTGTTTTCAAGACAAATCGTCTCTGTGTAGCCCTGACTGTCCTGGAACTCACTTTGCAGTCCAGGCTGGTCTCGAACTCACAGAGATATGCCTGCCTCTGCCTCCCGAGTGCTGCGATTAAAGGTGTGCACCATCACCTCCCGGCATTTTTCTTACCTTAAGGATCAAAGAAGGCAGAAATGTGTCAGGTCATTTTGGGTGTTCACATTGTTCTTGTTCCAGTGAACTGGACCTGCCTCATGAACTGAGGTTTTTCACCTGAGGGGTAGCAAGGGGTGAGGCTTTGCTATTTCAGTGACTCTTCTCCCACCAGAGACTTGATTCCACTGGAGTTGAGAGAGCTCTCCCTACAGGTACCAGCCAACTTGAGGTCTGGGCTCAACTTCACACTATGGTGGCTGCCAGCAGGGTGTTTCTTGAGATTTATTTTAAAATATTTTTATTTACATGTATGCGTGTCTCTGCCATTATGAGTGCAGTTCACAGAGGCCACAAGAGGATGATGGGTCCCTGGAGCTGGAGTTAGGTTGTGAGTTAGCAGATGTGGGTGCTGGGGGTGGAACTCAGGTCCTCCGTAAGGACAGCAAGCACTTCTAACCACCAAGCCATCTCTCCAGTCCTGAGATTTGTGTTGTTGCTTTTAAAAAAGTGCATAGTTTTAAAGATGTGATGAATTCTATGACGAAGGACTTTATTATAAAATGCAGAACTCTTTCATCCCAGCACAACTGCTTGTGTGTCCAAAGCCGCCTTCCATCCTTTATTTCTGTCTGGGTTCCTACTGTATGCCACATACCAGTGTTTGTTAAGTTTGGTTTAGCAAATTAAAATACAGAGTTCCTGGGTGGTGGTGGCGCACACCTTTAATCCTGGCGCCTGGGAGGCAGAGGCAGGCAGATAGATCTCTGTGAGTTTGAGGCCAGTCTCGTTTAGAGTTAGTTTCAGGACAACCAAGGCTACACAGAGAAATCCCATCTTGACAAAACAAAATGAAACAAGATAAAACAAAGAAAAAACCGCAAACAAAACAACAACAATAATGAAAACCAACCAAAACAAAATTCAGAGTCAACAATTCAGCCAGATTTGAATTTTGAATAATTTTCAGGGTAGGGACGATGTCCCGTGCAATATATTACACACACACACACACACGCACGTGCATGCACAAACATACACCTCCCCAACCAAAACAACCAACAACCCACTTTCCCTCAAAGAAAGAATAAGTTTATTCCGGGCCAAGTGTAAGCACAGATTATACGCGATGACACACCGTCAATATTGACAGTGGTCCATAAGAGTGAAGAGTCAAGGGCCAATCTCCCCTTTTTGTTTTTGTTTTTTTCAAGACAGGGTTTCTCTGTGTATCCCCGACTATCTTGGAACTCAATTCTCTAGACTAGACTGGCCTCAAACTCAGAACTCAGAGATCCATTTACCTCCGTCTTCCTAGTGCTGCGATTAAACGTGCGTACTACCACTGCCTGGTCAAAAGACCTATTTATTATTAATTTATTAATAATTTATCAGAGTCTGTGTGGTGGTGGTGCAGGCCAGTATTCTCGACAGTTGGGTGGCTGAGGCAGGATGAGCAGGAGTTCAAGACCACCTGTAGCTATGTAGTGAGTTTAAGTCACACTGGGCAACACGAGACTCTGTCTCAAAAGCTGGGCAGTGGTGACGCACACCTTTAATCCCAGCACTTGGGAGGCAGAGGCAGGTGGATCTCTGTGAGTTTGATGCCAATCTGGTCTACAGAGTGAGTTCTAGGACAGGCTCCAAAGCTACAGAGAAATCTTGTCTTGAAAAACCAACCAACCTGTTGGGTGGTGGTGGTGCATGCCTTTAATCCCAGGCAGGTGGATCTCTGTGATTTCGAGGCCAGCCTGGTCTACACTAGCTAGTTCCAGAGCTACAGAGAAACTGTGTCTCAAAAAAAAAAAAAAGTGAAAAAGAAAAACCAACCAACAAACAAAACACAAAACAAAACAAAACATCAAAAAATTATCTGCAAATCTAACTGAACTTGATCTGACAACCCTGCCCCTGCCCCAAATCATGTGCGTTATTTCAAAGCACAGGAGCTGTTTTGAGGTCTGAGGACAGCTCTTGCAACAGTGAGAGAAACCACATCTTGGCTGAGGCCTAGAATGTCCTTTATCTTGTTGAGAGATGGCTCAGCAATCAAGAGCACTGGCTGCTCTTTCTGAGTTCCTGAATTCTATTCCCGGCAACCACATGGTGGCTCACAACCACCTATAATGAGATCTGGCGCCCTCTTCTGGCCTGCAGGCATACATGCAGACAGACACGGTATGCATAATAAATAAATCTAAAAATGTTTAGAATCCAAGTGTTTCCTCCAGCTAGTCCGTGTGTGTGTGTGTGTGTGTGTGTGTGTGTGTGTGTGTATGGACACAGCTGGCCCTCATGCTCTTGTGTGAGCATGTGTGTACGGCATCTATCACTTCCTACCTTATTTATTTTTGAGACAGGATTTCACTGTGCAGCCATGGGTGGCCTGGAACTCACTACATAGACCAGTCTGGTCTCAAACAAATAGGTCCACCTGCCTTGGCCTCTCCAGTGCTGGAATTATATTTATATTTATATTTCCCCTCACTGAACCGGGAACTCATCAGTCCACTTAGGCAAGCTGGTTCCATGAACTCTGGGGTTCTGCCTCCTGTCCCAGCTCTTCAGGCCACCAACCCCCAGTGCTGGGTTATAGACCACTGCACCGGGCCTTGTACACGGGAGTTGAGACCCTGAACTCAGGTCCTCGTGTTTGCACAGCAGGCACGTTGCCGACTGAGTCATCTTCCAAGCTCTGCCACTTGAGACTTTAGCTGATTTTTTTTTTCAATTTTGAGGGGGTCTCATGTAGCCCAGTTCAGGCTTGGAACTCCCTGTGTAGCTAAGGATAGCCTTGAACTCCCGAGTCTCCTGTCTCCACTTCCCCAGTGTGGGTTCCAAGCAGGTACTACCACACCCAGCTTTCACTGATTTTCTTCAACCCTTCTCTTCTGGGGAAATAGGAGTTTTCCTCCCTTGCTCATCTGTGCTGTGGGGATGGATATGCTGGTAACTATGCTTGAGATCACGGTGAGAACTTAGCTGGCCAACCTCTAGGGGCCCAGAGTGAATGAGTCCCTGACCCTGCTACCTTGAGGAAGAGAGTGAGCATCCAATTTAGGAGCGTCCATGTTGGTGGCTTTAGTTCTCTCCCCATGAAAAGAACGCAGGGCCCAGGCTGGTGAGAGGACTCAGTGGGTACAGGACTTGCTGCCAAGCTTGACAACTGGAAGAACACCGTGCAAGGGCGCGAACACCTCAGGCTGTCTGCTGTCTTACCACTATGCTCATGCTAAAAAACCAAACCAAACCAAACCTAATGCAGAGGTCATAAACTAGAGTTAGTATTAAAATATACTTGGTGAACCAGTGTGGAATGGTAACCACACAAGCCCAGAGGACAGATGATCCGGCAAGATGTTTATCAATGAGGTGGACACCAACCTGAAAGGAGTCCTGTGACATCAGGTGGCCTGTGCCCCCTCAGTCTCCTGGCAACCAGACCAGCCGGGCCTACGCAGGGAGATCCCATCTGTCTGCCTCTCTCTGTCACACACACACACACACATAGAAGGGACTGTGTGTGTGGGTATTGTCCTGGCCTCTGATCTCCCTGACTCATGATAGAGTCCCCACTTGCTTGTGGCTGGACCAGATCCTGGCATCCTCAGGGCAGCAGGGTGGGTGTCGGAACTAACTTGTGTTGTTTCTTTCCAGGCAGAGGGTCTACTGTTAGGTCCTGGTCGGATCACATGGGCAGACAGAGGACAGACCTCAGCCTTATTGATCATCTCATTGCTCTCTCTCTCAGGGTCCTGGCCTGGCCTTGAGGCTCTGGGCGGTGCTCTTTTGCCCCCCTCTTGACAGTTTCTCTCCTGGAGGCTCGTGATATGAAACAAAGCCACGTCAAGGGTAGGAGTCCTATGACGCTCTTTGACCGCTGAGAAACAGGACGGCCTTGGCTTCTCCTCTGACAGAGTGGGGTGATACTCAGTGGTCATAGCCACCTGTCACCACAGCTACCCCGTCCTCAACCCAAGGCCCACACAGTGGATGAAAACTGTTTGAAGTGAAAATATGAACATTATTTAATAACTGATCTTCTGTAATAAACCATTTGAAAATATTTTACAAGGAATCACACACACGATATTTTACAAAGTTTCTCGACTTTTTTTTGTCGCTGTTGTTTTTCCAACTTGTCTGTACAAAATAGAATAACAACGAAAAAAGGGCAAAGTAAAGGAAATGGCCCCCCAAGTCCCTCAGCCCAAGGTGAGAGGACAGCCAGGTCAGGCGGGTGGATGAGAGGAATGGACCCAGCCGGGGGACAGACAACTACTTGATGGGGACTCTTGTTTCTGTTGTTTTTAAACTTAAAATATATACCTATTTTTCTGTATACATTTGTTTCTTTTTCGTTTATATTCTCCATTGAGCACCTGACTACACTACAGTTACACACGCGCCCCCACAGGACACAGCTGGCATCCAGGCTGGGCACACATCATGGATGCCCACCCTGTCACCAGCACTGGGCATGGACCATACACACACTGAGAAAGCAACAAGCAACGTGACATTAATTAACGAAGCCATTAATTAATGCATCACCCTCCCCCCCTCTTCCCGATCCAACTGAGCCTCATGGCTATACCCCCCGGCCCTCAGTCCCCTATTGGCCCCCAGGTTGGGAGGCCTTTGGGAAAAGACAGGGATGAATCGTGTGAAGAGATGTGTTCAGGCCCAGACTCGTGTGTGAGTGTGTGTGTGTGTGTGTGTGTGTGTGTGCAGTGTTTATATGTGTGCACGGTAGAAGTGTGTGTTCAGCAAGGGAGGGGTAATTTGGCCTCCTAAGGGAGGGAGTGTGTGTGTGTGTGTGTGTGTGTGCATGCAGTGATTATATGTGTGCACGGTAGAAGTGTGTGTTCAGCAAGGGAGAGGCAATTTGGCCTCCTAAGGGAGGGAGGGAGTGTGTGTGTGTGTGTATGTGTGTGTACAAAGAACAAAGAGAGTTGGGCCTGAATGTGTAAGAACCAGATTGGGGGTGGGATGGCCCAACCAGGAGAGATCAAGTCACCCCTGCTAAGGCAAAGAGCAATGTCTGGAGGGATTCTTCTGCTAAAGGGGTTCAGGCAGTGATGGGTGGTCCTATTAGGGTCCTGACACTAGTGAGGAATGGGTATAATGAGCACCTGGCAGGGAGAGGGGCACTGGAGGGACACTGGTGGCTAGGGGTGAAACAAAGAGGCCTCTTCCCCAGCATTTGGCACTGACATTCAGCTTTAGAGATGGGAGGGCCAGTGGGCTGCATCATCTCCGAGTAGAGGCAGAGGGGAGCAGAGATGGAAGGCACAGGCCTACCCTCTCTCTGACCTCTTGCCCTGTGTAAGGCTTTGTGGGCCCCCTCACGGTGTGTGTCCACATCTATTCCTGTGTTCCCTCCGGGGCATGTCTAGTGAGAGTCCAGTTTCTGCTTTCAGGGGTCCAGGTGTGTGTGTGGTGTGTCCGAACTGATGTCATCGTGAGACTGTTCCGACACCTGCAAGGCTGGGGCGTGGGTTTGTGGTTGTAGGCCTGAAAGGAGCAGGAGCCTGTGGGGGGGGCTGCCTCAGAATCTCTCTCACCACTACCACCTTACTTCTTCCATTTTCCCCCCCAGAGAAGGTGAGTTTGAGCGTGGGTGGGGCCAAAGGGTCAGGTTAGGGGCACCCAGCAGAGGCAGGGTTGCCTATTCAGAGGAAGTTTCCAGGCAGGTTGGTTGGTGGAGGCCTGGTTTGGCACCAGTACTTGTGGCCTCCTTGTCCCAGCCCACGGAGATAAGTCCGGGGTCTGCGGGCACTTGGACAGTTCAGGGGTGAGATAAATCTTGAGTGCCAAACACCATGACACCCTACGTTGGGGCTCCCCTGCCCCAAGGCACAAGCTCTGGGGGGAGGGGCCCAGGTTCTTCAGTGAGGGAGTGGCCCAGGCGCTAGTTTGGGGACTGTGGGATGAGGGAAATGGGAGGGTGAGCGAAAGAGTAGGAGGCCAAGGCGGGGGTATGGGGTGTGTGTGTGTGTGTGTGTTGCAGGGGGGTCGCTCAGAGGCGGCGAGAGGCAGCAAAGGAGTGGACTTGAGGCTGTGGCCGGGGCGGCAGGCCCAGGAGGAGCAGCAGCTGCAAGGAAACCAGGACGCCCAGCGACGGCGGGAAGGAGGCTCCGCGGCCACAGTCTGAGGTATCTTCCTGCAGCGGGGAGGGAAACAAGCAGGCGGTCGTTCCCCAGCCGGCGCAGGATCGTGGACGTCAGCAGAGCCGCTCCCCCGACTCACCGTGGCGTTGTAGTCAAAACAGATGTGAGGGCCTCTTCGGTACCGCGGTCTCTGCACCAGTTCACATTGCTCCGGGCCGTCCGCTGGGCATGGGTGGGGAGTCAAGGAGGAGGCGGCAGCAGCGACACGGAGGGGAGCATAGGGCAGGAAGGGCACGGGGAGGGCGGGGGCAGGATACAGTGTGTCTCCTTCTGCAGCAGCCGGCCCGCCTCGCACTGGCTGCATAGCGGCTTCTCCGCCACCACGAACAGAAGGTTGGTGTTGGTCAGTCTCTGCGCGTGGAACAACCTGGAGGGACGATCGGAGGGCGGCACCTTGGAGGTTCGCTCCTCTTCGGAGCCACTGTCCTGGCCACGCCCACCAAACAGACCACACCCCTGCGACACGCCCCGCCTCTCGTCCTGCAAGTACCTGCTGCAGTTTCCGCAGTCGATGATGGCGTTGTAGGACGCGTTCACCGAGCCGAAGTAGTACTGGGTCTGCTTCATGACGCAGCTGCTCTCGCGCGTCTCGGGGCTGCCCTCGGCTTCTGCCGGGTCTGCGGGGCCCAGACGCCTCAGCCCCGCCCACAGACCCTGACACGGTGTCGGCCTCAGCTTGGCTCAGACCTAAGCCCCGCCCTCCCCGGGAAGCGGGCGGACGGCAATTCCCACCCGTGAGATGTAGATTCGAGGCCGAGCCTCCCAAGTCCTACCTACCTGCCTGGAACCAGCTGTGGTAGATGAGGCCGTAGAGTAGCTGCTGGAATAAGGACCTGTAGAGCACGGGGCACCGAGTACTGGCGGTTAGGAGAGGCCAGTGCCTTCCTGGCCATCTTTACCAACCACTCCTCCAGGACTCACCAGGCGGCAGCAGAGGTCCACCAGGCCAAGTTAAGGAAGTCTGCAATGGTGGGCTGTAGTGGAGAGAGGAGCATGGGCTTCTACTGTTGCCTCTGGCTCTAAGTCAACCCCAGCTCTCTCAAACGTTAGACGTGGGGGAGGGTTCGCTGTAGGCGGGTCTTCCAAACACCCCTCCCCATCTCCGGGCATTTCGGGAGCTCACCACAAAAACACCCCGGGGTGCAGCACCCAGGTTTCCAGGAGGCTGTGGGGCACAGGCTGCCTGATAGTCATAGGATTCCTTTCGGGTGTAGAAGGAGTTATTATAGAGTGCCAGCATCAGGTTGGCATCCACCTCACTGAAGAATCTGCCAACCTGGTGATGCAGGGAGGGAGCAATAGTCACAGGGCTGGCAGTGCTGCACCTCTAGAAGGCTCTGCCCTATACCTTCCTTCCATTTTCTTCCAGACCCTCACCTGGTCCCACTGATGGTTCTGGTTTGACAGTACCAGGAATCCTCCGTCATCGATGAGGACACAGAGTAAGTCCTAAGTGGCAGGAAAGGGGGAGAAATACCGTGAGGGACCCCGCCCCAGACTATTTCAGACTCGGGCAGTCAAGCTGTTCCGAGTGGGGGCGCCAATGCTCTAGGTCTGTCAAGACCGAAGTCAGGGTAGGGGTGTCTGGGGATGAGGAAAGTTGGGGTCCAGAGCAGAGTCACACTCACCTCATTGTTAACCTCGCAGTCCATCTCACAGTGGCTGCTGGGGCCGCACTGCTGGGCAGAGAATGGGGTCTGTGAGGTGCCAACCAGTTTCCCTCATTTCTGCTACCCTTCATATGCTGGTTCTGCAGCCTATCTGAAGTACCCCGGCTTCCCACAGGTGCCGGACCCACTGCGAGTGGCAGGCTCATTAGGGGTCCTTGGGGACTCCAGAGAGGACACAGCTGGGCTTACTTCCCCTTCCCCTACCCAAATACCTTCTGAGGTTGGTCTTGATGGGTACGGTTGCTGGCAAGCACCTTGAACTTTTCGGCCCAAGCCTCTAGGTCCAGTTTGACACCCACCACTGTGGGAGAGAGCAGTGGACTGTCTATGCTACCTACCTAGTTGATTTCCTGACTACTGTCTCTTGCCCCACCTCCGTCTTAGTATTCACCTGCTGGCCTCAGTGTGCGACGACCTAGACTCAGTTCCACAGCTGTGCTGACGAGGACACCCACCGTGTCATTTTCCAGCTCCAGTGGCCTTAACAGCGCTGGGATGGATGGGTGGAGCAGTCAGAAGGGGAGGCTGGCCATACTGGCCACTCCAAACTGGGTCCTACCAACCCGGGACTAGACCCAGTCTAAGCCTATAGCATCCCAGACAGTGTTTGGCATGGCTTTTCTCTTCACATGTCCCTGGTCTCAGCTGAGGCCTCCCACCTGCTGATGGGCACCATGGACAGACACTCACAATCCTGGTGTGGGGGCTTGAAGACATAACCATGGTTATCCAGGCTGCGGCGATAGAAGCTGGCATTGAAGGGTTCAGGGTTCTCTGTCCAGTCTTCGGCTGCCCTAGAGCGCCCAAGACAGGCAGAGCTCAGTGGGTATACGACTGGATACCAGGGGCAGCTTGTGGTATACAATGGTCTTAGCAGTGCAGAGGCTTCTGGGTAGTAATGGTTAGGTCCCAGACAGGAAGGGCTGTTGGTGAGTGGGGTTGGTCACTTACTTGTTGGGGAAGACACGTGTAATGCCACCATCCGTGGCAGCAAATACGGCTAGCAGGCTGTACCTGGGGACAACAGGGAGGTGGGGTCACAGACCTGCCTTCTACTGTGCAAGGCCAGGGCCTCTGGGTCAACCCCAGCCTCCTGCCACACACAGTCACAGCCAGGGTGGTGGTGCATACGTGTTGAGATCTTGGTCCCGCCACACACGTTCTACTAACTGCTGTGTAATGCCCGTGTCCAAAATCAAGTTATGCAGAAGGAAGTTATTGCCTGGAACAGAAGGATAACTTGGAAGGATATCTTATTGTAGCTCCCTATCATTCCTTCCCCTAGTTTCCAGGGCTCTGGTGAAAGCCTTCTCTATGCCCTGGTCAGACCTTGCCTGCTTGTCTCCAGGCTTCTGCGGGTATGGCCTCCTCCCTCCCCTCACCAACCCCAGGCGCTGCCCAGATCCAGATGCCCTGCCATATACTCACACTGCTTGGAGTCTGGAGTCACTTTCTCCATGAGCTCAATGAAGTTTTTCAGGAATTCAGTGTTGTTGTCTGAGACATTCAGGTCCTTGCAATACTCTCTGGGGTAGGGAGGGGCAAGAAGAGTGGGCTTGGGGGGGCCGCACAGGGCAGAGGGTTCCAGGCTTTCTGACGGGTTGGCCTGGACAAAAGCTGAGAAGTTCAGATTGAGGGGCGGGGCATGAATGTCCTCACAAGCTGTGGTCGCTGTGGGCCTGTAGGCTGCTTGGACTTAAGGTAGGCAGAGCAGACAGAGGATGGGGGTCTGCTTCCTCCGCCCTGGTGGGTTTTCTCTTTCCTGGGGTTGGCCCTGCAGAACCTGCCATCTCTCCTGTATAGCTGAACCCAAATGGTGCACCCAAGAGGCCTCGGGAAATGCAAATGTCAGTGTCTGGCTCATCTACCTGTATGCCCTACAGTGTTCCTGTGGGCATGGCTGGGGCTGAGTACCAGCACTTGCTACTGCCAGTCTAAGGCCTCATCTTGCCTCTTCCTGGCCTTGTGCCTTTGGGCAATGCATTCTGCTTTCCTGGGGCTCACTATTTTCATCATGTCACAGTTGGGAAGTCAGTAGGAATGTGTAGGTCCCAGACTGGTTGTTCCTTCCCTCAAGGTGAGCAGGCCCTCATGAGGCGCAGGCTCTGGGTCCAGCAAACATGGGTGCGGCAGAGCCTCGAGAAGGTTCTTGGAGAACAACGTTTCTCTCTCCCCTGATGGATGCAACCATCTCTCTTGCTCAATCCTTTATCCACTCCCCTGCCACCAGGGACCTCTCCAGTGGCCTATATGACAGCAGCTTTGTGGGTAATTTAAAAAATGTGCTACTTCCCCATGCTGTGCCAGGACCCATGAGTGTGGGCACCTGGGACTGGATCCTCAGCCCTCACTGCTTTACCATCCCTTAGTGCCTATGTGAAGTGTACCCTCTGTATGGATGTACCCAGTGACACCCACACAGCTGTGCATAAGACACACCACACACATGATACGTGTGGTCACATTGTAGGGTACTTCATTTGCTCATTTTATGCACACTTATTCATACTCCTGAGCCAGTTATTAAGATGACACACAGATCTCTTCCCTCAGTTTCTGCATGTGTCTCACAGGCTGTTCCTAATCACTATTGCATACAGCCCACCCCACATTTACCCGTGGCCTCTTGCACATGTACACAATGACTCACAAGTACAAACATCTACAGAGACTTGTGGGTGCATGCACACAACGTGCATACACACAGAGGTTAGGGGTGTCCAGAGCCCCATGTGGCGCCGGGGAGTGCTCTCATTCAAAACTCGGGTCACAAGAGAGGGCTTCAGCACCAGGAGGCCATGGCAGCCATGACCTCCTCAGAGGTAGTCCATGGCAGATTGTGTGTACACTGTGATGTGTGATGTGTGTGTTCACACTGAGTGGACTCCAGGGTTGGCTCTGGGCCCTGAACCCTCACTTGCCAGAGAAGATCCTCAAAGCCTTTGCCCTCCTTCCCACTCCTCAGGACTGGCACCACTGGCACTACCCACAGGGGCTCTGGGTGGCTCAGCCCTCAGACCCACACGAACACTGACACAGGACAACCATGGGGGGGGGGTCAGGTGAAGGTATGGGCAGGACACCACAAACCAGAGCAGCAGCTGCCCACTGAGGGTGCGTTAGGGGACAGGCCAGCCCAAGGTAGAAAGGGCTCTTTCCTGGTTGCCTGGGAGGGCACAGAAGGTTGTAGAGAATCCAAAGCCCGCCTGCCCCAGACCTGGTGGGACATAGGCTGTGGGCTACTAGCTACTGCTGCCTGGTGCGGCTACATGGCCTGGGTATGCACACAGCCGCACATACCGGGCTATGCATGGGGTTAGGAGCATCACTGCACAGGACGTAGACACACAGAGCTCCAGGCAGCAGTACAGGAAGTAGGGCAGGACAGTCAGGGGAGGGGAGGACGCCTTAGCAAGGCCACACGCAAGCTACCTGGGAGCAATGAAAACATGTCCTTCAGACTCAAAGCTGCTGGGGAGCAGGAACTCAAAATCTGCAACAGAAACGGGGGGTTATCCGGCGGGGGCTGGGGAGGCAGAAGGCCAGGGGGCTCAGAGCTGATGGGGCTGGAGGGGCAGGTAGGGACAAGGCGGCTTAAGGGAGGGGGAAGACACCAGCAAAGAGGGAACCCGCCACTTCCACGTTCAGGTTTGAGCCAAAGAGAAGGGAGGGCGAGGAGGGTGTAGGGCCTGTGGAAACTACAGCATCGCAGGAGAAGGGCAGTTATAGCCAATATGTTGCCCGGGCCTGGTCCTCTGTCGGTAGTGAGTCCCTTGGCGTGGCTGTATATGCTTCCATACTGCTGTATAGCACATATACACGGACACACACACACACACATATATATACACACACTGCTATATATATGCATGGTCTGGGGGAGGCGCCAGTCTTGTTCTTATCACATCCATAATGGAAAAACCGCATGCTGAGCTTCCTTTGCCTCCAAAGAGACTTTGAGGAAGGGAATTGGCTTTTGGCTGCAGATTTTTATCTCTCTTTACCGCAGCTGTTTGCATTTTGGTAGGTCTTGCTTTTGTTCTGTGTCAGGCATCAACATGGCCAAACCGAAAGGGTTTCTCACAGGCACAGACAGTCCAACCAGAGACGGGCGCGAACAGCTGGCGGTGGCGGCTACTGCAGTGCATCGTGGAGGTTTGAGGGTGGGGTGTCCTTCCTGGAACAGGATGCTGGGTGAAGGAAAACCCAGGGGGCAAGGACTGTTCCACAGTGTGTGGCGAGACAGGGGTGCTGGTGGACTCTGCACACCTGCTTTCCCAGCTGGGGGCACAGGGCACACGGGGAAGGAGGAGCCTGCGGGGAATGCTGGGAGTGCCTAGGTGGGTGGTCTAGCACCTGTGCCTGTGCCTCAGGCTTAGGAGCTGTGCACGTAGGTGGCATGGATGTACGAGTGTGTGCACACTCGTCTTTATATGCATGGATGCACGAGAGTGTGCACACTCATCTTTATATGGGTGTGTACTCACAGGCCTGAGAATATGACTGTAGGACTCCATTGTGGCCTCTCCTTCTGCCCAGCTGGATTGGGTTACTCTGCTGTGTGCCTATTTTATTTTATTTTTTCGAGATAGGGTTTCCTGCAGTCCAGGTTGACCTAGAACTCCCTTACACAGCCGAGAATGACTTTGGACTTCTGGTTCTCATACATATACACCTTCAGAGAGCTAGGATATGGGCAGGAGCCGTCACCTCTGGAATATGTGATGGTGGGGATTGAAGCCAGGACTTTTGATAAATGCCAGAAAATGACAAGCATTGTTGCAACTGAACTATATCCCCAGCCCTGTTACGTGTATCTGTGAGGGCCCTTGGATAGTATAATTCTGGCAGTTCAACTCCCTAGATTTTTAAAAAGATGGTCTCTGCTCTCTTAACTAGCCTCCAATTCATGGAAATCCTCCTGCCTGAGCCTCTTGAATGCTAGAATTTAGGCCTAGGCCACCACACTTGGCTTTCCCTATCCTACCCTCACCCACATCCCGAACTCTCACCCCAGCGCTTTAGTTATCCCAGAAGAGGGATTTTCACTGTTCCCAAATACTCCCACGATGCACTGCAAAGTTCTGGACGGAGGAAACTTGAGGTGCTTTGGGGGGCTGGGCAGTCACTGGTTGGACTGTTCCTTTCTGATAGGACTGTGAGGCAGGGTTTGGACACAAGCCGAAGGGGAGGGAGTAGGGGGGGAGGAGGAGGAGGAGAAAGAAAAAGGAGGGATGAGGGACAAGGAGGGAGACTATACTATGTTTGTTATGTTTCCAGGGTCTTGAAGTTCTAGGGTCAGCATGTGGGGTGTGAGATGGGAGAAAAGACAACTCAAGCCAGTGGAACTATGCAACCCACTCTGACCGAGGGCAGCAAGGACAGTTTATTCCCTTTGTTGGACTAGGCTAGATGGGTTTCTTGGGGAGTCCTCTGCTTCCAGGTTGGGGATATCCCCACGTGGTTCTCCATACCCCACAAAGTCAAATGTTCCCTGGGAAGGCTGCTCTCTGTCCACCAATGGCAGACATCTTCATGTGCCACCTTTTCTAACTCCCATTGTCCTCTGCCAAGGCCTGGCGGTTCACCATCTACCATTTTGCGATCTGACTTGGAATCCTTTCCTTTGTCACTAGCCTGGTTTCCTCTGGTTGGCTCTAGGGATCCATGCCTGGTGAAGCCTACGGTTTCTGAATCTGCCTTTATTTCCCCAGGGGAATAGCTTTCCCACACCTATGGACCCTTCCTAGGAACAGCGAGCACCTAAGATCAGGGATTGCCCAAGGGTCCTTAGCAAAGAAGTAGGAACCGCAGAACATAGACGTTACCCAGGATGGCTGGTTAGCCTTGCCCTCCTGTGGCCTGGTTGCCTGTGTGACGCCCCCACTAAGGCTTCGGAGACTTGCAACCTCTTCTAGGAGGGCTGTGAGCTCTGGGGCCACAGCAGAACCAGAGGCCTAAGTGTCATTAGAGGGTGCCTGCTGGGATTTTCCTCTTCCACATTCTTAGATGAGTCCCGCTGAGGGCTGACCTATCAACTGTATCTCAAGCTTCCTGCCCTACTGGGAAGGTGGTAGTGGAGAAGCATCCAGCTCTGTTCCCACTGTTGAGTTGTCTTAGAGGGGCAGAGAAATTGGAGAGGCAGAGGGCTTCCCATGGGGTCCCACAAAGACTACAGAATAGGAGGAAAGGGTCTGGGCCCACAGGCACGGTGGAGAACTCTCCGCAGACAGCCCCAGAAGTGGGCTACTGGCTCTAAGAGGGGTGTCAGGATCAGAGGAAAGGCAAGAGCCGAGGAGCCAAGGGATGCTGGAAGGGAGCCCCAGAGGGCAGGGGTGTGGCTGGTCCTGGGCAGGAAGGGGGGCAAGCAGGGGCGTGAGGGCAGGTGGGGTGGGGAGAGGAGGGTGCACTGGTTCTGAATATACTTGCCCTTCAGTTTGCTGATTGGCACTGGGACAGTCCACCAAGAGAGAAAGCGAGGAAAACAAAAACACAAACACAAAAACAAACGAAAAGGGGGAGGGGAAGGGGAGGGGCACAAACAATATTTTATTCAATGGCTGTTTGAATGAAAATATTGTGTCTCATCATCATACCGAAAGGAAACTTCTTGCAAAAAACGACATGAGAGAGAAAGAGAGAGCGAGAAACTCAAAGGAGATGAGCCCCAGTTGGCCAGGCAGGTGGGGGGGCGCCCGGTGGGGCCGGAGCCCCAGCCTCCCTCCCAGTGACCTCTGGCATTGGGCAGGCAGGGCCAGGCCTGAGATCCAGGCCTTTCCAGAGAGGCCCATGGTGAGCAGGCATGCATGGGGAGCCACAGGCAGAGGAGTGGGAAAGCCGAGGAGGGAGAGGGAAGGAGTGAGAAAAGATGAGAGAGATGGTGTGTAGGGGTGAAAGAGGGAGGAGCGGGGAGGGGGAAGAGAAGGGTGTAAGCCAGGAGTGAGGGAGAAAAGAGAAAGGGAAGAAAGAGAGAGGGAAGAAGACAGACAAAGGGAGAGGGGGAGGGCAGGGGTTCTGGGTTGGGGAGAATAGATGGTGGGAAAGTGACAGGGACTGAGCAGGAGAGAGAGGAAGAGAGGATGGGGAGGAAGGGGGGAGAGAGAAATGAGGGGAGAGATGGTGGGAGAAGATGACTTGGGAGGAGGGGAAAGAGCGAATAGGGGAGGAACAGAGGACAAGAGATCTTGGGACAAAGGAGGCACCACAGGAGGAACAGGGGAAGGAGCTCAGAAGAGAGGGAGGGGCAGGGGTGCTTTCTAGGAATGTAGCCCCCAGGAGTGTTTAGGGCAGGCAGGCTAGAAGGGAAGACACGGGCTAGGAAAAACCAAAAACAATCCTCAACGGAAACCATGAGAGAATGGTCTAGAACCAAATCTGAGAAAAGGCAAGCATGCAGATTTCCACAGACTTCGAAGGCTGGTTCCCCAGCCTGTGGGCACGCCTGAGGCTGGGCAGACTTGGCAGGAGGGGCTGCCTTGCCGGCAAGCGCGGCTGGCTATGCTGCCTGGGGCCGGCCAAGGGTGCAGGGGCAGAGGCAGGGGTGCAGGGCGCAGGCAGGGGCCAGGCCACTTACACTTGACCTGCAGGATCTGGTCGCTGAGGTTGGCTTGGAGGTAGAAGGTGCTGTAGGGTGGGAGCACCAGCCCCAGGCTGGGGAGGAGGGGAGGGGAGAGCACAGGTCACTGATGAGGATTGGTGGGCCACACTAACACTTCCTTCCTAGGGCCTTAGAGCCACAGAGGCCCAAGCTGTGGCAGCCACAAGTCCCATGAACAACTCCATATCTTAGGAGTTAGCACCTTGGAGGCCTGAACCTTCTCCCCAAACCATCCTGGAGGCCTCGAAACTACTAGTCCCAAAGTGATTTCCCACCCTACTGCCCACCTCAACACCCACCTGCCCCACAATGTCCTGACCTACAGGAAGCTTTTGAGGGACAGACATGAACCCCACGAGAGCCCAGAGGCAGTACGGGCTGGTCCCGGGGTGTGACAATGCTCCTATCTTTTCAGAATAGACTACAGAGCAGTTGAGTGAGGCGCGTGAAGACAACCCCCGGGGTCAAGACTGGCTGAGGCTGCGATGCTGACTGTGAGCAGTCAGGGAGTGTTGAGATGATCCCTGGGGTGTGGTACCCAGGAGATCCTCCAGGAAGGGGGATGCCAGGGGCACTGTCCTGTCCTCAATCCCGTTCTTCCAGGACCTGCTGCTTGCTCCACAGGGCCAGGGGAGGCCCTGGGGGACCAAACATCTCAGGTTAAATAAATAGTAAGGACAGGGGTGCAAGAGGGAGAAGCAGCTGGGTTCAGATTTCGGGATCACTCTCGCCCTTCTCTGTCTACCCAGCTCTGGCTCACTTACCTGTAGTTGGTGCTCCTTATAGGCACCCAGGTGTAGTTCCGAATCACCTCATCTATGTACCTCTGGGAGAGGAGGCTGCGTCAGGTTCTTGGGTGAGCAGGCTAGGATGGGTGGGTAGGGATGGGTGCCCATTCTGATGCCCTTGTTTCCCATCCTGTGCCTTCATACCTCATCCAGGGACTTGACTAGTGTTCTGATCTGCTTGTGGCCCTTGTTGCCATCAATCATGCTGCGACGGATCTGCAAGGGCCAAAGGTGTGAACCCCCTGCTCCTGTGCTAGCCTTCTCCCTACTTCCCTGCCCTCACCCATGCTCCTGTGCTAGCCACCTTCTCCCTGCCTTCACTCCTGCTCCTGTGCTAGCCACCTCCTCCCTGCCTTCACCCCTACTCCTGTGCTAACCACCTCCTCCCTGCTTCCCTGCCTTCACCCCTGCACCTGTGCTAGCCACCTCCTCCCTACCTCCCTGCTTTCATCCCTGCTCCTGTGCTAGCCACCTCCTCCCTGCCTTCACCCCTGCTCCTGTGCTAGCTACCTCCTCCCTGCCTTCACCCCTGCTCCTGTGCTAGCCACCTCCTCCCTTCACCCCTGCTCCTGTGCTAGCCACCTTCTCCCTGCCTTCACTCCTGCTCCTGTGCTAGCCACCTCCTCCCTGCCTTCACCTCACCTCCTCCTTGTTCTCATCTTCCAGCTCTGCATCCAGGAAATCCAGGGTCACAGGCTCCCGGAAGTTGGTAGTCTGCAGGAAGCCAGATAGGAAGTTAGGAGTCCTCATTTTGGAGGGTTTACCTGCCTTCCATGGCCACTCACCTGGCTTACCTGGGGCTTGAGATTGGGATGTAGCAACACGTAGCCATTCAGGTCAATAGCAAACACATAGCCGTTAGCGCCAAGCTGTAAGGTACAGATTGGGGGTTCAGAGGCTGTACAGGGATTTTTTACACTATGAGCGTCTCTCTATTCTGTTTCCCATGCTGCTTGCCTTTGGCCAAAGGCCCCCTCCTGGCATATGGCCCTAAGTCTGCCTCTGAAGCCAGGCTGGGTGCCCCTCATACACCAGCCCCCATGAAGACTGACTGGCCCTGTAGGCAGGCATCCTTCATTTCCTGTGGAGGTACCAGCCAGCCTACTTCTGCACCTACATGAGGCTCACAAGGCTGCTGCCTTTGTACCACTCTGACCCTCTTGTACCTACTGCTTTCTCAAATTATGCTTTCCTGTCCCCATTTCAGTGTCGTCGGACAGGAGGGAGAGACGCCTGGGAACCCTGCAGGCCTGCTGGAAGGCAAGCAGGAGGGAGTGGAACCCAGGGACCAGCCTTTGCCGCGGACTTTGCCGTGGAATCTCTCAGGTCAAGCAAGGGTTTCATATGGTTCGGGCTTAAAGCTGTCACGCATGTCCTTCTTCCCCTTGCTTTCATAGCGGAGACCTAAGTTCTCTAGCCGAACTGCCATCCCATCCCTTCCCCAGCTCCAGCTTCTGCCTTTTGCTTTCAGGCTGCTCTCTGGAAGAGTTCCCTCTGCTCCCCCTCCCCAGTTCTCCACCCAGCACACGTCTGGGGGCCGAATCTGGCTTGCCACCTGTCACAATAATTTGGATGTGAGTCTCATATGGGTTTTAAGTTTTTGTTTTCTTCCCCAAGATATGATTTCTCTGTTTAACAGTCCTGGCTATTCTGGAACTCACACTGTAGAGCAGGCTGGCCTCAGATTTACAGAGATATGTCTGCCTCTGCCTCCTGAGTGCTGGGATTAAAGGTGTGCCCCACCATTACCCAGCTGGGTTTTATGTTTGTTTTTAATAGATTTTATTTATTTATTATGTATAGAGTGTCCTGGCATGTATGCCTACACACCAGAAAAGTGCACCAAATCTCTCATTATAAATGGTTGTGAGCCACCATATGGTTATTGGGAATTGAACTCAGGACCTCTGGGAGAGAAGTCAGTGCTCTTAACCTCTGAGCCATCTCTCCAGCCCTAGGGTTTCATTCCTTTTTTTTTTTTTAAAAAAAAAAAAAAACCAAAGAAGGAACTGGAGCGATGTCTCAACAGTTAAGAGCACTGACTGCTCTTCCAGAGACCTGGGTTTGATTCCCTGTATTCACATGGCAGCTCATAAACATCTGTAATTCTACTTCCAGGGGATCCAGTATCCTCTTCTGGATTTCATGGATACCAGACACACATGTGGTATCGACATAAATGCAAGCAAAATATCCATACACACTGAATTTTTAAAAAAAATCTAAATAATTATTCTCTTTTATGATGTGAAAATAATATAAAATTCAAATATCAGTGTCTACAGATAAAACCTAATGGGCCGCCAGGCATGGTGGTGCATGCCTTTAATCCTAGCACTTGGAAGACAGAGGTAAGCAGATCTCTGTGAGGTTGAGGCCAGCCTGGTCTACATAGTGAGCTCCAGGATAGTCAAGACTACATAGAGAGACCCTGTCTCAAAAAACCAACCCAAACAAAAATGAAATGAAACTCTACAGGCCATAACTATTCCCATGTGTGTCTGCTTTCACAATACAATATTAACACGGGAAATAGCTGTTTAGGTCAGCAAGACCTGACTGAAATAGTCACAGCCTAGTCTTTCCCATGAGGCTTGCTGGTCCCAGATTTGGACAAACCTTCTTGGGAAACTTCTTTCTTTCTTTTCTTTTCTTTTTAAAATTTGTTTACTTTATGTGCATTGGTGTTTGATCTGTATGTGTGTTAGATCCTCTGGAACTGGAGTTAAAGACAGCTGTGAGCTGCCATTGGGTGCTGGGAATTGAACTCAAGACCTTTGGAAGAGCAGCCAGTGCTCTTGACCTCTGAGCCATCTCTCCAGCCTCCCTGGAAGTCTTTCATGATCCTCTGAATTCAGAGTGCCCTCTGAAGACCCTTCAATCCCTGGATCTCCTCTGCTGAGTCTGGCTTGTCTCACCACGAGAAGCAGGATAGTGGGGCAGGTGGACACTTACGGTGTAGTTGGGAGTCAGCCTTTTGATGTCATTCAGGGCCACATCGATGCCCATCACACCCAGGATTAGCTGGTTCTGGGCACAAAGGAATGGAATGGTATACTGTAATGAGTCAAGTCCATGGGGGAACCCCCGGCCCAGGCCTCATACTAAAGGCCTTAAGCTGCTGACACAGACAGTCCCTTGTCCAGTTTGTAGGATGTCCTATCCCTCCTCCATCCCCAGACCTGCTAAAAGCATGCCAGCCCCTCCCCCAGACAGCCCACTGGGCACCTCACCTTCTTTTCCCCAGGGCCATCCTGTGTCAGGTTGAAAACAGGTAGAGTCCCAGTTACCACCAACCCCAGTCCCTAAGAGGAGAGGAAGAGGATGAGGTCTCCTATGGCCAGTTCTGTCCCTACTCTGAGTGTTCAGAGCAGGGGCTCAGGCATAGGCCACCTGTCATTTTCCTTTACTTGGTCAACACCAACAAGGGGGCTCTCAAGGGTCTTGACCCTGTGGGCATATCCCTGAAGGAAGGCCTCCAGTCCCCTTCCTTTGCCCAAAGGCCTTACCAGTGCATCTTCATACACGTTTGTCCATTGCACCTGCTTGGCTTCCTTGCCTGCCAGTACCATGGGCCTGCCCAACACATCTAGGTATTCCTGGGTATGGGGAGAAAGGCACTTAAATGTCCTTCCCAACTCACTTTCTCTCATCTGCTCTCATGTGCCTTAGCAGCCACCAGGGGTCGCTTTCGGCCCACGGCAGTGGAAGGCACTCAGCAGCAACCAGAGGGAAGCAAAGAACTGGGAGGGGCGGGCACCTCACCTGTGTGTTGATGCGGATGGCTCCGATGGAAGGGATCTCAAAATAGTAACCTGTAAAGGGAGGAGAGGTGGGCTTGTCTGGGACAGCGAGACCCATATCGCAGGGGGCACTGCCTCCTAGGGCATATCGGCAGTCTTCTGTGTATTTAGTTACTCCCCCCAAACTTCTTTGTGCTCCCTGGCATTGCCCAGGCACTGGTACAGAAGAGGATGGATTGTAGGGAGGGGAGGGGTCTAAGGAAGCAGTGGAGGTGGAGTAAGGAGTTTCATTCTAGGACATCAGTTAACATTCAGAGTTTACCCAAGTGCACAGAGAGATGGATTGATCAGCAAACAGATGTAGGAGCAGAAAAGCTGGACAGATGGACAGTGGACATACAGCCAGATGGGCAGGAACATGCTTTGTCAGATAGACAAGTAAGACAGCCCACCAAACAGACAAAGCAATGGACAGCCATCTGTATGGAAGGACAGACAGACAGTGAGTGAACCAACAGCTGGACATATGGATGGACAGCTGGCAGCAGCACATAGCAGGCAGATGCCTTGGCAGGGAAATCCAGCGAGGTACCTTTGTTAGTGCAGGCCATCCACTGCAGAGGAGTGACGTCATAGTTATGCTGCCCGACGGAGAATGTGAACACGCGCACCTGTCGGAGCAACGAGGTTATTCCTGTGGCCACTCGAGGACAGCCCTCTCCTGTCCAGGGCCTAGTTCAGGGCAGCCTCCCATCAGGGTTGAGCCTCACCGTCCGGTTGGGCCAATTGTACTTCTCGAAGACATCCTGCACACGATCTTCGCCCCCATCCGTGAACATCATGATCATCTTATTACAGTTAGCTCGAGTGATGTTGGACTAATCAAGGGTGAACACAGAGTCAGGCAGTCCTTGGTCTCTCACAGGTCCAGGGCAGGGCCTCCCTCCTCTGGAAGGTAAGCTTGGCCCTCTGGCCCTTCTCCCTCCCTCAGAGCAGGTGGGTTATCTGTCTAAGCTGCCTGTTTAGTGTGAACAAGGCCGTCCATCTTTATCTTCCCACGACACTACGCCTGGTCCCTTGCCCACCCTTGCCCACCCATTTGCCCAACCATGCGGCTCACATTCTGTAGCTGGTCAAAGGCATACTCAAAGCCGGCCTTGTAGCCTGTGGTGCCCTTGGCCACCATGCCCTGCACGGCTTCCTTGAACACCTTCTTGTTCCGCACATTGGCCTGCACCAGGTGTGTGAAGCAAGACACAGGCTGCGCCTTCTCGTTGAACTGTGGGGACAGCGGGAGGGTGAGTGGCTTCAGGCTGGCCACCGCGGACAGCTGTTGCACAAGGCTGATGGTTGTCATGGGAGCAAGCTGGATGGGGGGTGAGTAGCTCCCAGCCCGCCTGCCACCTTGGCACTCACTGAGGCCACGTTCACATAGTCATCATCAGAGAGTGTGTCCAGCATCTCACAGACGGATGTCTTCATCAGCTTCAGAGTCAGGCCGCTCACGCTACCACTCCTGCGAACCAGGCAGGGGCTACGTATGTGTGGGCTCTCAGACTTCTCCCGCCCTCTCCTCATAATGTCCCCAGGCAGAAGACTCCAGCCCTGGCCCCACCCCAGCCCCACCAGCCTACAACGCTCACTCACACATCCACAATGATGACCATGTCCTTGGGGGATGAGGCCCCCTGTATATACCTGCCGGTGAGAAGACTCAGTTAGGGACAGCACCTCGGGACCTGTGGCTTCTTCCTCCCTCTACCCATTTATTGGTTCATATATTTCTATTGGCCATGTACTACATGGGTCGAAATAGGTCTGGGCACTGGGGAGACCATGCTCTACAAAAGAAGACAGCTCCTTCTCATGGCATGAGTGATTTGGTCCCTGATTAAGTGAACAAGAGGTGTGGGGGGCAGAGAGCTTAGTGGCTTGTGTCCTCTGCCCCAGATAGAGGCTTCACAGAATGGGGGAGGGGGAGGGAAGGTTATGACGTAGGGAGAGAGGGGGAGAGCAGAGGGCAGGGGTGTCTAGGGATCAAAGGAGTAGGGTGAGGCTCTCTAACCTGGCAGAGGCTATATCTACCCTTGGGAACATCCTTACTGGGCTGATCTCTCAGTCCTGAGTGGGTGGAGGGGACTGGGTAGTGGACGGTATGTGTGGGGGCAGAGGCAGCTGGGCGGCCTGCCTGGGTGATGGGATCCATTTTCCAGTGGCAGCGATGTGTGAAATGAAAATTGGATAGAGCTGGCTGCGCCCTGCTCGGAGGTCTGGATATTGAGAGGGAGGGGAGCAGGCAAGAGATGGGGAGCTGAGGGGGTATCTCTCTCTTCAGTCCCCCCTTGCTCACTCACCAGGGTCGTCTTCGGACGTCATACAGGTCAATCTTCTTGGGGGCTCGCCATGGTGTGGCTGTGGAAAGAGAAGGAACCAGGTGGAAGGGCCTGACTAGAGCAGCTCGGAGTCATGAGAATGACTTGGTTTACTCTGTGCATCTCAGGATGGGTGGGCTTAGAGATGGAGCAAGATGGATGTTGGATGGGCCAAAGAGACAGGTTGGCACCTACCTGGGTAATAGCGAGTGACTCCCGTGGCACTGCCGAAGACCTGCCACAGCAGGGTAGGGTCTTGTCTACGGTTCTCGATGAAGACATTCTCCAGGGCCTCGGTCCAGTTAAGCTCATTGAGAATGACAGTAGCTGGGGAGCAGGGCAGAAGGCTGGGCTGGAGAGCTCTAGGTGGCCCCTGCTAAACCCACCTCCACAGCACTGATGCCTAAGCCTCCCCCGTCAGTGGCCTCCCCTGCTCGTGGCCTGCTCAGGCTTTCTTTGGTTTTTCAGGATCTCACTAGGAACCATACCAGCGCCCCCGCTCCCCGAAGATTTTCTTGTCCTCCCTGCTCCAAATCGTCAAAGCAATTTCTCAGCCTACCCCTCAACCAGGCCTCAATGAGCAAGCAGGGCTGATGTGGCTTGTGGCCCATGGAACAGGGCCGCCTAGGTGGCAGGGAACTGTGAGCTGGGCCCCCATCCAGCATGCTGCCTGGAGCCTGAGGCTGGTCCCCAGGGAGCTCACCCACTCAGCATGCACTCCAGGCTGCAGCCACAAGAAAGCAATTAAGGGCCTGCTGATGGGGCTGGAATTATTCAGCTATTAAGGTACCTGATAAGCTGGAAGCCACTCAGCTTCATGATTAATCAACTGGGGCCAGGAGCAAGCAGGGGCAGAGGTGGGGGCTGTGGAGGGGCAGGGGTGGGGCCAGGATCCTACTCCAACACAGGCACGTGTACTTGCACACTCATGCACATGTCCACGCAGCCTGCATCCTCGGCAGGTATTCCTGGCTCTAATCTCCGCGCTTCCAGCCAAATGTAGGAACCCTATCCCCTTTCTTCCCAGCAACATGATTGCTGCCATGGGTAAGGGGCACACAGGAGGTCTTACATGCCACCACCAATTACCCATACCTTCCATTCCCTAACCCCTGGAGTTGCACATAGAGTGGCCCCTCCCTCCTGCCAGACTCACCCCTACACACCCTCACAGAGTAAGGCTGCTAGCTACCCTGCTGACCAACCTGGGTGGCATTCCTGTTCCATAACTCAGGGTGTCCTTAAGTCTACCTGATGTGTGTGTGTGGGCACATGTTTTTATGTATACACTGTACCAGTTCCTGAACAGAAACAAACCAGGAATGCGACACCTGCTTCTGCCAGGCCTCTGACTTCTGTATTTCTTCTTAGTTTCCTTCTGTCTTCCCACGGGGAACCCTAGCACTCAACCCTCCATGATCCCCATCAGAGATCTCAAGTGACAGCCAGAGAAGGCTCCATCGAGGCTTTGATTCCCTCAGAACAGATAAGCTGAGCCTGACACACCCTCACCCACCCCTCCGTCCTTCCTTTGTGTGCTGCGTCCCTCTGTCATCTAGCTCCTTCTTGGCTTTGTGGTTCCCCTTAACTGACCACAATATGAACACAAAACCTATTTCTATCATTGGCTCTGCCTATTGAACACTATGTTATGGTCCTGTTTCTGATTTAGAAGCCTAGTGAGTTGAACACTTTCTATTTTTCTTTGTAAGGAAAAATGAAGTGAGACCCCCAGACATTTCACATAATGCCATTTGTCTTGTGAGCCTGCCGGGATGCCTGCCTATCACTGGGCCTTCAGTCTTTCTTCTGGAGAAACTTGGAAGTCCCTCAGGCTGCCAGCAGAGGGGTGACCCCCGCTCCAGGTGGGCTGTCCTGCAGAAATGTGTCCTGCAGGACACACTGATGCAGCCCCCACATGCACACAGTCCTATATCACACCCGTGTACACACACTCTCAGATCACACTGAGTTGGGAAATGGGGACCATGCCCCCTCAGGCAGGCGATTACAGATTTAATTAAAAGTGACACAGTAAATAAAAAACATATAAAATGTAATTTGTGTGGGTAGCGAGGGGTGACTGGGGAGGGTGGTGTGGCTCCTGTTTTAATTAGCGTGCCTGTTTGTGATAGTGCCCCTCGACTGGCTCAAGCAGGTGGTCTCCAGGCAGCGTGCAGGTAGGGAAGCATTCCCCCTCAACCTGAGGTCACCCAGAAGACTTGACTGACGTTGTGGGTGGCAGGGGCTTCCTGGGATACCCTAGGAGTCCCTGCTTTCTGAACCTACCTTTGTCCTCAGCTCCCCAGCCCCCAGCCTCCCAGCCTCCTAGCCCAGCAGATTCTGAGGCTGTCCTATAGGTAGGTGCTCAAATAGTTGTGTTAGAACCAGAGCCTTCAGTCAGCTTCTAGAGGACATTTCTGAGGATTTGAGTGCTGTAGGGAGAAGATGCCAAAAGCTGAACACTCGATGAGGAGCTTCGGCGAAAGACGGACGCTATAGCGACCTCATTTCCCCACCGTGCAAAGCTGCCCTGTCCCTGGGACGCGGAATCTCAACTACGTTTTCCTGGTCCCGCTTCACCACACCTTTGGCTGCTCCAGGCTAGAGCTATTTCCCACTCTTCCAGCTCTGTGCCACAGAGCAGAGTGGGCTAATCAGGTCTGGGGCTGCTGTTTACGGCAGGCGGCTTGCAGTCCTTAATCTCTGGGTCCGCCTTATGCTGGGGCTTCCCAGCCCCTCCTAATAGAGTCAGAGAAGGGCAAGGGTGGCAAGGAAAAAGGCTCTGAGGATTCAGCCCAGCAGTGAGAAGCAAGGCGTATGTGCATGTGTGTGTGCGAACTGTGTACACACAGGCTTGAGCCCACGCCAGCAAAGGTAAGAGGCTGTTTAAGCTCTGCTGAGAGTGGCTGCAGGCCTATATGTGGGTAAGCCAGAGAAATGAACACGTATGACCTTGTGTGCAGGGGACTGGCTGGAGGGAGGTGGCACTGGCCTTCCATCTCAGGGACCTGGGAATGCTTGGGAAGTGGTCTTGCCCCAGGTCGGGGGGGGGGGGAAGGGCTGTTCCCAACCCCCTCACACTCACAGCCTTTGTAGATGTCCGTGGGGATCTGCACAGCTGTGTATGAATAGTTGACTTTGTTCTTGAAGTTTGGGTCCTCCATGAAGTCCAGTCTTAATGTGCTGGTCTTGGATCCCCTCTCCACGTCTTCACCCTCAGGGTCATCCTGCAGAAAGCACCCCCGCCCGTGTCAGGTTTGGAAAATGGTGAGTAGGCCTGTTAGGTTTGCTGGTGAGCTGGGGAGGGCCAGAGTCCAGGAGACAGGGTCATCTTAAGGACACAGGTATTGCAGAGACAAGAGACAGGATGGAGAGACAATGGGAAAACACGGGCATAGCATATGAACCCCTCACCCAGAAGGCTTGTGGATTAACCTGGCTTTATCCACCGTTCATTTGCCAAACCCCAGTTAAAACCAAAGCCAAAATGACCCCTTTTCCACATCCTTGAAAAGCAACTGTCACTGAAGGAGGCAAAATGGGGAGCCAGTTAGGAGTGGGCTGCGGACTTCTACTTCCAAGGACATGACTTATGCAATCACAGTGAGCCCTCAGCAGCTCTGCATCCCCATACTCCCCACTGAGTCCCACCCAATCCTTGCAGGAAGACTCCTTGGTGAAAGAGAGAGAGAGAGAGAGAGAGAGAGAGAGAGAGAGAGAGACCTAGCCCCATGTGGGGCACCATCCCCTGTAGTAGGGTAGCTCTAGAGCCGAGTGGGGGTTAGCACAGAGACCAGGTGACCTACAGAGGGTGGGTCCACCATGCCTGCTAGCAGCAGGATTGTAAAGGCCCCGTTGATTTTCTAGCTGCAGCCGCCTGACAGGTGCCAATTACGGTATCTTTCGGCCAGGCAGGCTGGGCATGCGCTGTGCAACCCCCCCCCCCCCACCGCCTACTACCACAGGCTGGCAGGAGTGGGGCTGCGGTTACAGAGTGGATGCTGCAACCCGTGGGGGAGCAGGCTCGGGTGCAGGTGTGCAAGCCTGGAAGGAAGATGGTGGAGAGAGCATAGGGTGGGAAGAAAAAGCCAGACAGGAAGGCAAGGGAGACATGGAACGCTCCACACACTCCCTCACCCTGTTCCCCCACCCAAGACCCTTTGACTACGCTCAGCTCAGGCATCCTCTCTTTGCTCAGATTCATCCTCTCTTTGCAACGGGCCCCGAGCTGCTCCTCTGCTGCTCCCTGAATGCCCAGGCATTTCCTCTTTCTGTGTTCCGAGCTCTAGGTTATTGTCCAGGCTGTTTCCTTTCACCAGGCCATATCCCAGGACACCGCTCTGAAGTGCTCTGAGACAACCCCCTTCCCTTCTTTCCAGGGAAGGTTCTGGACAGCAGAATTCAGGCTATTGTCCTTCATGCCCTTCACTGGGCACACCCACCTCCTGCTCACTCAGGGAAGCCTGTGAAATGTTCTAGGTGAAGCCAGAGTCGGCAGCAGCTGAACGTACGGGCTGGAGTAGGGAGTCAGCCGTCTGAGAGGCATAAGCCACGTACGCTCCACTTACAGGCCGAGGTGTGGGAGAAGAAAGCCCCCCAAATGTCAGCGGCAGATGAAGGGCGCTGGAAAATTTAATCTTCCAACTTTCCCAACTAATGTGACATTTGGATTCCATTCTGATAAGCTTTCAGCTGGCGAACTTTTTCCTTCCTTCTCTTTCTTCACCCCCACCTTCTGGCTGGTAATTTAAAAGTAAATGGTCTAGAAAGATCTCTAACTGTACCTCTGGCAAAGATTAAAAAAACAAAACAGAACAACACAACACAAAAAGCTGGGGACTTGGTGAGTGTGTGCTGTTATTTAGGCCGGGTCTGGGGGCTTCTGGCCTCACTGCCCCTAGTCCAGCCCTGCCTAGAGCAATACTTTCTGACTGGGTAGTTCCAATCCCCCTGAAAGGGCTGGGGGAAAGACTCAGGCACTTGGAGCCGGGGGTTGGGGTCCTGGATAGAGCTGGGGGCTGCTGGGAGCAGGGAATAGTGTCCTGGTCAGGGTTTGGGTACAAGGCTGTCCAGGGAGCCTTTCTGTGCCATCCCAAGCCCAGGAGCTCGGTGCAGTGGGCAACCGCAGTCTCCTGCTTTATATTTAATGCACTGATTGCTAAAATTACAGCCCGCTGCCGAGGGGGGTAAGGAATTAGATTCAGGGTCTAATTAAAGGTTCGCTCTTCATTTGAATTTCAGATCCCAGCTTTAATTTTAGCAACTTCTCCGGGAACCACGGAGCTCAGCCAAGGGGAAGCGCACCTGCTTGAGCCCACCCCTCCTTCTCGGCCCCCTGCCCTCCTGAAGGTTTCCCAGGCCAACCTGGCACTATGGCCTCCCACGCAGCCATCCTTTCCAACCCTCTCACCTCCTGGTGTCATGGGCTACTTCTGCTCAGGCCGGGCGAGCCTACAGGTCCAAAAAGGGAATGCTGGACCTTGCTTGGGTTTTCTGTATCAGCAAGCACAAGTCAGAGCTAGACGCTATTCCACTGTCCCACCCCTGTTCACAGTTGGGTTCAACCACTGCGTTTTGGAGGCAGACATTGATACGTTCACAGAACACTGTCTACTCCCGAGTGCTTGAACCCACAGACACTCTTTCTCACCCCACAGTCATCCTCGCTGAGGTCTCTACTGATGGGGACCTCACTACCTTATAAGCCAGCCCAAGCAGACCTAAGCTCATGGAACAGGATGGCGCAGGCCCAGTGTCGCCACTTCTGGGAGATTATCATAGAGGCCTCATCTGAACAGATGCAGGAGCTCAGCTGCCTCTGTGTCTGAGGCCAGGCCATAGGTGTTCTCAAGGGCCTGATGTTCTGAATCCTAGGGAAGGGAGCCTCCACTGTCTTGGGGAGGGGCCTAGATGTCACTATGTCTCACTCCAGGAAGGCCCCTCCCCCTGTACTCCCATGGTGCTCAGAGAGTCCCTCATGCTGAGACGGAACTGTCCTGATGTCAACACCTTACCACCCTGCCCAGAGAGGGAGACACTGTGCAGGGAAGCTTTGCCCATTGTGGCGATGAAGTCACAGTCCTGGACTGACAAGGACCTCTAGGGAGTTGTGGAAGATGAGAGACCTGACCCAACACAACTCAGAAAGGTTGAGTCAGAACGGTGACCCAGCAGTGGGGGTGTGGCTCTGGCAGCTTCCTGTCCTCTACAGCGAAGGCGGGGCACTCACCAGTTCAGCATCAGCCTTGGCGTCATAGTATATGATGTCTTCCTCCTGGTGATGAGAGAGAAACCTCAGCATTCATAGCTCAGGGGCTCCCAAGACGCAGTCTGGACTCTTTGGGTACAAGGCTTAAACCAGCTCTCTGGATTTCTCTAGGACTGAGACAGTCCCCTCCTCCACCCGAAGCCACCCCAGGAAAAGTGGGATGAGTCAGTGCTGCTGATGCCCTGCCCCCACCCCAAGACTCATCCTTCACTCTCTAGAAGCTGCTGTACCCCAGGCTCCCCACACATAGGGTACTAGAACCTTGCCCTGCAGGCGGGTTGAGGGCAGGGTCAGAGCCAGCTCGGCTGCTGAGAGACTGGCTGAGGCAGGACCAGGGAGTGAGGAAGACAGAGACTCCGAGCTGAGCCTGGGCAACAGCGAAATAATGACTTCACACTGCATCTTCCAATTTCTTCTATTAAAAAGGCTGCTCATTACGAGCATGTACTTATTAATTATCTGTGATTTGTTGTGAAATGCAAAGGGGTTTACACAACAGGAGCAGGAATAAACAAAGCTGGGCCCGTATGCCTGCCCGTGGCCCTCACTCACATGTGCCTGCCTGCCCATCCTGGCCCGTGCCTGCCTGTCTGCCGCCTGGGTTCTCGGCCATCTGCATGTCATAATCATCCGCCGCCCCGGGGACCCGTAACACAAACGGGCTAATTTCATGTTTAATGATCTTTAATCAGAACCGAGTGCAGCTGACAGAGGCCGCCAGAAGGTCAGCCTTGGTGTCAGCAAGTGCCACGCGCACAGAAGGGGCCATCCGACTTTGCCCCGGTGGGCTCTAGGGCCAGGGCCATTGTCCGAGTCACTCTCCCCAGGTGCCTCAGCGGTTTTATACAACAAAATCCTTTAGTGTCGTCCCGGGGGTTCCTTACGCATCTGGGGCTGTTCCCAAGGACCTGCCTGCAAAGCAGCATGCACAGAGCCAGCTCCATGATGGATGGAAGACACATAGGCTACCCTGCCCAACCACGGCCTGGCTAGGGCATACTGGGTGACCTGAGGGTTGGCCACCCTTTCTCTGAGTCTCTTTATGTCTCTAGGGGCGGATATGGCCAGATGCTACGTCTGTGGCTAATGGTTATAGATGGTTGGTATTTCAAAGTGTTTAAGGCAACTGTCTCAGGCTGTCTTCTTTAGGGGTTTTGGGGTTACGTACAGGCTATTGGCCGGACATAGTGACTTAGGTCAAGCATTCTGGATCTGTGACTGAATGCCTGGCACAATGCCTCAACATGAATATTGGGCCAAGGGAAACTCAAGAGGTGTCTACTATGTGTGGCACTTCTGGTGGCCGACACACACAGAGACATCAGGGCAGGGACAAAGAGGGCCTTATACCCAGGCTTCAACCTGCCCTCCCAACTCATCTCCAGCCTCATCCAAACTTGCCACCCACCCACCCATCTTGGAAGCCGGGCCTGGGTGGGGGCTGGGGCAGGGCGCAGGCTCCAGGGGGCTCGGCCTTTCCCTGTGCTTGGCTCACACAGAAGCACGTAATGAAAGCTGACATTACATCAAACACAATAAGGAGTTTCGGTTGATGAAGATCATTCCTGAACACACAAACCCATTAAACTGAGGGGAAAAAAAATATCAATTCAACACACTCGCAGGCGAAAAGAAAATGTGATTTGTTATCTAAAAGGGGGTTATAAACACGGTTCTGATGCTCTTTCCCTCCGTAATGAAAACAGGCGGGCGCAGTGGGAGGACTGCAGATTGCAACCTGGGGCTTCTCTTGCCAACTTTTTAGGCAAACCTCCTGCAAGGACAGGAAAGGGCGTGGGCGGGGGCCAGCCATTGCCAGGCTGTGGAAGGGGGTCCGTCTGTGCCCCAGTCACCTTTGGGATGCCCTGGCACTCACTTGGGCCGTCTCTTCAGCAGTTCCCATGGTTCTCTTTATTTGTCCTGCTGTTTCACAGTCTCAGGGGAAGACAGAATGCTGGTAGCATCCGAGATAAAAGAAAAATGGCATCCAGGATTGTTAGGTTCCTGAAGACTACAGGTGGGGGGCCCAGGTTACCGTAGTCTTCCTGCCCCTCGCCTTGGCTGGTAGCCTTGGCAAGGTCACATGTGCGAATACATGGTAAGCACAGCTGTGACTGCTATTTGTGGTGCAATATGGAGCTGGTGTGGCAGGACGAGCTTTCACAGTGTGCGGGAGCAGGTCCTTGGGAAGCTTGCATCTGCCTTACCAGAGCAGCATCAGAATGCTGGCTTTAGAGACTCATGTCCTGGTTTAAACAGCAAGGAGGCAGACTAGTACGTGAGCCCAGGGGCCTGGGAGAAGGGTCTGTGGGTCAAACTCTGACCATCAGTGAGTAAACACAGGCTGAGTAGGCTGGGTGTGCTGGCGCACGCCTTTAATCTCAGCACTCGGGAGGCAGAGGCCCAAGGAACTCTGTGAGTTTGAGGCCATCCTGGTCTACATAGTGAGTTCCAGGACAGCCAGAGGATAGTGAAATCTTGTCTCAAAACAAAAACACAAAAGCAACGGCAACGGCTGGAGAGATGTGCCCCAGGAGGCCCATGACGATCTCCAGGATCCACCCCCATGTTGTTAATAACGCCTGCTAAGATCATGCAGCCTCACTGAGCTTGGCATCCGCGTGTGCATCACCCACCATAAAATCCAGAATCTGGAAGAGGACAGAGAATATCAGAGGCCTCTCCAGGAGGCCAACCCACAGCCCATATGAGGGGCTGAGTGTGGAGAAGGATCCTTGGAAGATCATCAGGATTGAGAGTATGTCCCAACGACTTTCCTCTGTTCCCTCCTTTTGGGGGATTGTTTCACTCAAGCTTGGCAAAGGGTGGAGAAATCACCTCCCCAACTCACACGCATGATCCCCATCAGGAACCTGTACATGAAGGTGGCTGGTGAGGGGCGGGACTCAGTGGGTCTGTGTGTGCACGACGCGTTTGCCTCTTAGCGGGAGCCAAGCCTGGGCAGACACAGGGGTGTTGGCAGCTGTGGGGCAGGGTGAAGAAGACGGTCTGGGGTGAGTGGAACAGAGGTCTGGGGTGAGTGGAACAGAGGGCTGTCATGCAAAGTTGGTGTTTTGTAAGGCTGCTGCCAAGGCTGCCCAGACATGACTGTCACCTGCCCACCAGTCCCCTGTGCAGAGCCCAGGCAGTCACCCAACCTTGCCAGTGAGGTCATGTGGTCTTCGTTCCATGACCTACTGCCAGCTCAGCTAGACCAAAAAGGACTTTTTTTGAGAGCCGTCTGTTGCTGGCTTGGTGGAGACAGGTGGTGAGCACTACGGCTGGGTTGGACCCTTAGGCCGGGGGGGGGGGCACCTGTCTTGTCCAGCTGGCTCTTCAGGCCTTAGTCCTGACTTCACAGGTCTCTCTTTAGATTCCCTAGGTAGAGTTACCTCCCCCATCAGACAGGCAGGGCCATTGCCTCCACCAGACTCCCAGGGAATGATTTATCTTCTATTGTACGTTGAGGCCTGTCCTCTCTCGCCCCTCTGACCCATGCCCTGGCCCAGATCCTCCCTGGTGGTGGCTTAGGTGGCAAACAATGTTGGCACAGTGTGATGCTGGCACCAGGCACAGTCTAGCAGGTGGCCCATCTTCATCTACCGTTAAGTGTTATGGGTACCAGACCACCTGCTGTCCTGTCTGTGCAGAGTCACATGCTGCCACGGTCTCTCTAGTAGTCCCAACTCTGGTTCCTTGACCCTGCCAGGATCAAATGGGTAGGGTCATGGCCTGGAACTAGACAGTGTTTTTATTTTGTTTTGTTTTATCCTCCATTCATTGGCCCCTTGACTGTATCTCAGCTCTGGTCCTGTGTCCTCCAGGATCCTCAGTTCCTGCTTGTGTCATAGGGTAGGCATGTATAGGGTAGGCATGTGTGCATATATACAAGCACACCACAACTGTCTGTTCCCTGCTCTGTGCTGTCCACACTGGGAGATCCACACCCTACAAACTGTACAGTGAATTTTAGTCTAGCTCCCTGAGTCCAGTATCTTTCCAGTGCCCACAACTTCTGGATGCCACCATGTTCCCAATTCAGAAGTAAAAAGACCATTCCTGGTCACTTTGCCACCAGAGCATTGGGCTGGACAGGTGAGAGTTGGCACTGACACTGGTCTGTCTGTCTATCCCTGATCTGAAGGAGTCACCAGTGAGGCAAACAGACGGGACACTTGCCTGGGCGCTGTCTGTGATACAGAGGTGCTGTGAGCACTGGTTGGGGCTGGAAAGAGGAATCTCGGGCGTTGCCCTACGAATTAGGTGACAAGAAAGTTCCTGAGAGAAGGCTGAGCCTGGGAAGGGACCTGAGCTTGAGGCTGGGATTGTGACATGGGTCGGTTATCTCTCCTGAGCCCGGAGGAGGAATATTACTTCACTCCCTGTCGGTCACCTTCTCAAGGTCACTGGGTTTCAGTGGATTTTATGCTTGCAAGGGACAAAATACATCCTTTCCCCAGCCATAGTCGCTGTAAGTCCTGTCATGAACAGTCCCTGCCAGCGTTCCCTAGCAGTGCTGGCTGGCGGGTGGGCTAATGGGCCACCATTAGAACTAATGCCTCTCAGACAAGCAATTGCAGTGGCGGCGGCGGGCAGCGGCAGCAGCAGCAGCAACAGCAGCAGCAGCAGATCTTCATGGGAACAGCAGTGACCTTGCAGCCTGGAAACAGGTCACTATAACCCTTGCACCTGAGGATCTCAGGCAGGTGCACTGATGGGCTGGGAGTCACAGAGAAGAGGACACTGGGCAAACAAGGCTGTGGCCAGTGCTGTCTGTGGCCACAACCACATCTGTAGCAGCTCAGATCAAGCAGGAGGGTAGTTAGTCAGAGCCCACTTCTGCTTCAGCCCAGGGCAGTTGCAAGCAAGGCAGGTATGGACAAAGATGCTGCATATATCAGTGGCTTGGTATCCATGCAGCTTGGTGAACATCTTCATCTCTTGGAAGCCACACCAACATCAGCTAACCAATGGGGAAAATGAAGCCCTTGCTGTGTCTCACAGAAACTGATGCAGTGATATAGGAATGCTTTTTTTTGTTTGTTCATTGTTTTTGTTTTTCAAGATGGGTTTTCTCTGTGTATTCCTAGCTGTCCTGGAACTTGCTCTGCAGACCAGGTTGGCCTTGAACTCAGAGATCTGCTTGCCTCTGCCTCCCAAGTACTGAGATTAAAGGTTAGGAAGGGTTCTGAGCAGCATCTCTCAGTGCTCTTGGGTACCCCTGAGCTCCCACATTCTCTCAGGCATCCTCAGCGCCCAACCTGGTCCAGAATAAGTGGAATTGCTTATCCACATATCCACTGAGATCCATGGACCAGGGACCTGGCAGGACAGCACTGGAAAACACATGGTTTGTTTGTTTTGAAGAACCTGGAAGAAGAACAGGTCTGGAGCTGTGGAAGCTTCTTTGTCTCCCTCTCTGGGGCTTGGACTGGGAAGGAAAGAAAATCAAGAGGAGGACAGGCCTCTTGTGCCTTTATTTCTGGACTCCTGCCCTGCTCAACATGAGTACTCACGGGGGAAAAGAAGCCAGCAGTCAGAAAAAAAATGAGGAAGAGGAGAAGTGTGTGTGTGGGGTCCTGGATACTCAGAGGGTGGAGGAAATAATGGACTGAGGAGAGATAACAGCTTAGGATGAGCATCCTAGGAGGAATGAAGGGGATTCCAGGCGGAGACCAGCAGAAACAAAGGCCCAGGGACAGGAAAGGGCCTCCAGAGGTATTCAGTATGGTAGAACATGTGGAGACCAGCAGAAACAAAGGCCCAGGGACAGGAAAGGACCTCCAAAGGTATCCAGTATGGTAGAACGTGTGGTAGAAAGGAAGGGCCGAGAATCAAGGCTGTGGAAGGATGCAGGAGGAGCCAGACAGCTGGTCCGAGTGCAGACTCAGGGCTGGCGGGGCAGGTGGAACTGTGAAGCAGGGGTTATCTGGATGTAGCAGCATGGTCTGAATGTCAGATAAGAGGCACTGTCTGTCTGTCTATCTATCTTTCTCTCTTTTTACTTTTTAAAAAAAATATTCATTTATTTATACATATGAGTGCTCTATCTGCATGTATGCCACCATGACAGAAGGGAGCATAAGATAGAAGAGGGCACCAGATCTCATTATAGATGGTCATGAGCCATCAAGTGGTTGCTGGGAATTGAACTCAGGACCTTCGAAGGAGTAGGCAGTGCTCTTCCTACTGAGTCATCTCTCCAGCCCTCTCTTTTTACTTTTTAATTTCACATGTATGAGTGCTTTGGTTACATGTATGTCTGTGTACCATATAAGTGCCTGATGCCCATAGAGACCTGAAGAGAGCACTGGATCTCCTAGATGGAGAGAGGGAAACACACACATGTGTGTGTACACGTGTGTGTGTGTGTGTGTGTGTGTACGCGTGCACGCGCGTGTGTAACATTCACATGCTTTGATGCTGATGCAGGTGGAGAGGTCAGAGGACAACTTTGTAGAGTCAGCTCTCCTTTCTACTTCCATGTGGGTTCTTGGCATCAAACCAAGGTTGCCAGGTTTTCATGGCAAGCGCCTTTACCCAATGAGACATCTCTCTAGCCACCACTCCCATCTTTGAGATAAGGGTCTCGTAGCTCAGGCTAGCCTTGAACTTGCTATATAGCTGAAGCTGGCTCCTTACTTTCTTGCTTCCATTTCCTGAGTGCTGTGACGACAGGCATGCATAGTGATGCCTGGCTGAGGAGAGACGGGGCTGTGATGTAGTCGGGGTAAGAGAAGGGTTTCTCCTGGGTTCCGGGGAGCCTAGTTAGTTTAGGGGTAAGTCACTAACTTATGTAGTCATTGAAAATATCATCTTGGGCTATGTATAGTTCATGGTAGAGTGTTTGTCCAGCATGATCAAGATCCTGGTTCCCATGAAAGAGAGAGAATGAGATACAAAAAGAAAGAAATCAGGAGCTGGAGAGATGGCTCAGAGGTTAAAGAGCATTGCCTGCTCTTCCAGAGGTCCTGAGTTCAATTCCCAGCAACCATATGGTGGCTCACAACCATCTGTAATGGGGTCTGGTGCCCTCTTCTGGCCTGCAGGCATATACACAGACAGAATATTGTATACATAATAAATAAATAAATAAATATTAAAAAAGAAAGAAATCAGCTGTTGCCCCCAACTCCATGTAACATGTGAACTCCTTGTACCCAACATCCACCAAGTAGTGGAAGAAGCTCCCACGAGGGCAAGGCAAGACAGGGGAGGGCAGTCTGAGGAGAATATGAGCAGCCGGTTTTGAGATCCAGGCCACAGATCTGAATGCTTGGGAACTGACAGCAGCTATAAATCTTTACTACCAACAAAAGACATCAGCAAGTACGGGTCACAGCCCTACCTGCTTCCTGGGGCACATGGGTCTAGATCAGACTGGCTCAGAGCTGGAAGGAGCAATGTATGTCCCACCCTCATCCTATATATTAGTCCCTGGCTCCTGGGGATAGCTCTTGGTGCCTCTTTATGTTCAGCAAGGAGACTACTAGGAACCATGGCCCAGACCCATGGAGCCCTGTTCGCTGGTCTGATTACTGAGGGTGCCATGCCCCTGGTTCCAAGGCTTCCCTGAGCCTTGCCTTAGTCAGAAACTAGCCCAACAAGACGGGTCAGGAGTGTACAGCTCCAGTCAGGAATAGGCTTTGTCCCCTCTGACCCTCGGGGCCCTTTACATTCTATTCCCAAGGTGTTTGAACCTTTTCTGTTTGCAAGATGGAAGGAAACATTTCTGTGACTTTGACAGGCCTGTCTCTGGGATCCAGCCTGGGGATCTCCTAGGAGGACAGACGACAATGCCCTTTTTCAGGGTCTCTTCCGGGTCATGACATTAAATTCTCAGATGAGTCCTGGGGTCAAGAGGCACCTATGACCCTGGAACTCTCTAAGACTCACGGTATCTTCTTTAGGAAGGGCCATTTTAACAAAGCTGTCTGCTCATGGGTCACCCCAAGACTCCTGTGGAGTGACAGCGGGCTTATATCCACATTGCATCCCCCAACACTGAGGAAAGCTTTTTTTTTCCTGAGGGTTGGACAAAGGATCAGAGGGTCTGTGCAGCACACACTCCTCCTCTGCATACCACCCAAGTTCAAGGTGTCATACCCTGCATGCTGGAGGGTGGTATAAGTTTTTTTAATTACATTTTTTTTATTGTGTGTGTCTGCATGCACACATGCCATAGTGCATGTATGGAGGTCAGAGGACCACACACGGGAGTGGGTTCTCTCCTTCCACTAAGAGGGTCCTGGGGATTGACGTTGCCAGGCCAGAGGTAAGTGCCTTTAACCACTGAGCCGTCTTTCTGGTCCAACATATGCTATAGTTCTTACCTTGATATTGTCCTGCCAGCGGTGGGCTTTCTGGAAATTCTCTGCAGCATCAGCCAGTCTCTGAGGGACAGAGCACATACATGGGAGTCAGAGGCTGAGGCAGGATGCCTGCTCCATGCCCAGCCCAAAGCCCTCTCCATACCCAGTACTCCCGAGGACCACGATGACTCAGGACCTCCCTCTGTCATTAGTCCAGACAGTGCCCAGCTTGTAGGAAAGGACACCTTACCAAGCACCTGGATCACGCGGGAGACAGGACGCCTGCCTGCCTGCACAGGCAGTCTAAGTGGCTTTTCCACAGGTCTCCGGCCCCGCAGTGCTTGCTGCTCAGACGACGGCACAGGCAGCTCCTGGCCAAGCTCAGTGGTACCTACCCTCCACCCTCTCTCTATAAGCTAGGGTGTGAAACCCCACACATTCTTGCGCGTCTCATCATGTAACTTTGCCTTGGCCAGGCTCAGCAGGACATATCTACAGTCCATTTCCACTCACTCAAACTCGCTGTCCTCTCCCAGGCTTCCTGAGACCCCCACAGGGCTCCCAGGCCTCCTCCCACATGAATCTTTCCCAGCCTTGAAGGCTAGCTTCAGTGATTGTTGACAATGGAGCCCAGTCCTGAGGGCAGAGCGCCCCTGTACCTGTCCATATTGTGCTTATCACGAAGCAGGCTTAGTGCTAGACTACTCTGAGATGGGGAGACGTGGCAGACTCAGCCAGCCCTGCTCCTCACGGTGGGGAAGGGTAAACTAGTGCATAACCAGGTATAGTTACCAGGGAGCTGGTTAGAGCCGAGAGGATGGGGCTCATACTACTGGTACCGGACACATTCCAGAGGTTTATGGTGATGGCACTGGGACATGGCCACCCTCTGGGCTTGAACTTAGGACTCCTATGGATTCTGTTCTTTAGGAAGGACCAAGGCTCTCAGGATGAAATTGAGTATGGTCCTCTAGACTTTCTTGAAAAGCAGAATTTAGTGATATCTTGAGGACTACAGTGATAACCACCACCAGGAACTGGTGTCCAGTTTGTGGGGAGGGCACCGTATGCCAAGTCCTCCCCTGACCAGTGCCATATGTACACCCCTTACTGCCCACTGTGTGTGGTAACATTGTGAATTCTCCAATGAGTATGTCCCAGGCTTGGAACAGTGAGCAACTTGACCAGGACGCATAGTGAGTCTGGGTTAATCTGGAGCCCTAGTCCAGCCCCTACTATTACATTCACCGTGCTTAGTCCATGAGGTCCAAAGACCACTCCTCCACAGGGCCCCCTATACCTGGTGTTCCTCATTTTGGCCCTACCCATCCCATGTCCCGACTCTAGGTTTCCAACTTGAATCAGAAGACCCCAGTCTCTTGGCATTCAGGACACTGCATCCTCATCCATCAGGCATGTAGGCCCCAGAGAAAAGGGTCTAATAAAGCCTATCTGAGGCCTTGGAGCTCCTGGACACTCCTGGGGGTGACCTTCAACCTACATGCCCTCCTGGAACAGTTCTCTTGTCATTGTATGTGGATGAACACACACACACACACACGGTATGAGTGTGTATACACGTGTGTGTTTGTGGGTATGCATGTAGAGGTCAGAGAGTACCAAATGTCTTCTTTATTTAATATGGTAGGGTTTCTTACTAAATACAAGGCTTGCTGATTTGACCAGCCTTGTTAGCTTGTCCAGGGATCCTGTCTTGACCTTCTGAGTGCTGGGTTTATAGGCAGGCTGCCACACCCACCCATTTTTTATGTGGATTCTGGGAATCTGAATTCTGTTCCTTAAGCTTGTGTGACAAGCCATCTCAGTCCTGGTAGAAACCATCTTCTCCCCCTGCCCCCTCTCATTTGATGTTTTCTGAGATAGGGTTTCTCTCTGTTGCCTTCTCTGTAGATCAGGCTGGCCTTGAACTTAGAGATCCATTTTTCTCTGCCTCCCCAGTGCTGGGATTAAAGTTGTGCGTCACCACTCCCAGGCTAACCCTCTTCTTTTGAGACCTCGGTCTCCTTCCTTCCAACCTGTCATCACTAACTCCCTGCCTGCTAGTCTCCTGCCCTCCAAATCACATCTTTCTGCATCCATTCCACACTCAAGACCTGGAGCCTTATCTCAGAGTGCAGATCTGATCATGTGCCTGTCCCCCCCCCCCCCGCCCCGCAGGCGTTCCAATGCTTTCATGTAAAAGCTTTCTTGAGACTGCAGAACTCATCCTTTTTTTTAAAATCTTGGATTTTTACTTGGCCTAAAACCCCTAGGATGAATGAAGGAGACCCCAACTTTCACAATCCTGTAGTACCTTTCTATGGAGGCATGTGTGCCACTTTAAGTGGATACCCCTCTACACCAGGTACAAAGCTACTTGGGCTAAAAGATCCAGCAAGTCCAGGGAAGTAGCCCCGAGGTACACCTCAAAGCAGGAGCCTTGGACAATCAGTCCATCTTCCCTTCTCTTATCTAGTGGACCCCTGTCTTTCCTGGGACCCCAGATGTACTTGAAGGGGGACTTGAGGCTACGTGGGGCCCTGCAGAGGCCATTGCTGTTTATAAGTGTCATGTCTAAGGCAATGTAGGAGCCAGATTAAGGCCTCTTAGTATACAGAAGATGGAGAGAGGAGATGGGTTATAGACACCAAGCTAAACCATGGCTAGAGAATTTGTTACTTTCAACCACTGGCCAGTGTGCATGTGTCTGTGTGTGTGTGTGCGCGCGCGCGCACGCACATGTGTGCTCCTTCACCCCCTCAGCACACAGCTTTGACCCTGGGATTCACGGGCCCCAAGAATACGGGGATCTCAGGCTCCATAACCTAGCAGACAAAGTAAGGCAGCACCCAGGAGGGAAGGCCCCAGTCCTTGGTCTCCTTAAGCTCACAGAGTCCCAGGGGCTCAAAGGCCTGGGTCAGCCCGCTGACTCGTGAATAACGAAGTTGCAATAGCCACAGCAAAAGGATTACTTTTAATCCTCAGTAACGATCAAGCCATTATTATTTTTTCGGTGTTACAGATCAATCAGTCCATCCCCAGGCGCTGGACGTGTGGGAACTGCTAAATAGGCAGTTCCAGTAGTGTGGGAAGGAAGGGCCAGTCGGTAGGATCGGGCGAGGTGGGCAGACCACTGCTGTTCAAGGTCCCGTCAGACCGGGCAGTGGGAGGGTGAGTGGTCGCAGGACCACTCTGGTCTGCTTCAATATGGTTTTCTTAAGAAGTGGCTTCACCTCTCTGGCCCTCCAGATCTTTCTGTGAACTGGAGGTGGTAACTGATCCACATGGAGGGTGGGTAGGCTCTTGGCACCCCCTTTCTCCGAGCCTAGCAGTTCTCATAGGTAGCTGTCCGCCGGAGTTTTCCTTCAGGTTCTTGCCCACTCGAGGTCCTCCTTCTCTTATCTGCTTTTCTGCCTGGTTATCCACCTTCTCTGGACATTTCCTTTCACCCTTGCCTAGCCGGTGGGCTTTCCTTTGCCTCTTCCAGGCAGTGCATGTCCTTGGATTTATGTGGGGGCTCTAAGTTTAACACCATCTGCCTGGCCCAGGCTGGGTACTTAGAGCCTTGGGTTTTTATCTCTACAAAGCCCATAACAGTCAGGCCTGCTTTGGGTTGGCCAAGGGGTCCTCACACTCCCCCAAGATTTATGTTCCCGGCACTTTTCTTCCATCTCTTCAGAGCCCTGTGATGGGCCAAGGGTAGGCAGGATGAGTAGGGAAGGAAACAGTGGAGATACAAGGGGGAGAACCTACAGGCTACTCTGGGTTAAGCTGGAGCTACAGTTTGGTTCGCCCCAGGGTGTCTGCTGATAAGGGAGAGACATTCTGTTCTTAGCCTGGACTCTGGACTCTGAGTGACTGTCCCCCTGGGACTGACTCCTTGCTCAGAATCTGGGCTCTGCTCTTGGAGCCACGCTTAGTCCTTGGCCTCCTGCTACCAGGCCCCTGTACACGCTGTTGCCCCTCCATGCACTTCTGACTAGATTCTCTAGTGTTATTCACCCCCTCGCTCTTGACAAATCCCTGACTCCTGTCAGGCACCGGCTTCCATTATGACACCCAGGGAACCTTCTGTGTGTCTGCCATCTCCTTGATCTCAGAACTCAAGCGGGGAAGTGCCTAGTTGCTATTAAGTTTAGGGTCACTTGGATCCTAGCGTATAGCGAGTTTGTTAAATCAAGGTCGGAGTGTCTCTGGACCCGTATAGAGGTATGGGGCTTGAGCTGAGCCCTGTCCAGGCAGGTGTGTGATTGCAGGTGTGTGGTTTGGGCTCTTGGGACCACCCTGCAGGGTGTGCTGCTGCTGCTGTGAAGTTACCGACAGTGTCTGGCCTGGCTTGTGATGTCCCCACCATGGTCAGCATGGGAGGGGGCTGCAGTGGGATTCTGAGTACGGTTGTTCCCAGCCAAGTCCATCACGATAACAGCAGGCATTTCAGAGGCAATTATCAGAGAGTTTCACTTAACAATCAATTTCCCTCAGCTCCAGGAGCCTTTCTTATAAGAAAAGGCAAGAAAGAAGGGGACGGGCTGTGCGCTGGGCTGGGGACAATACTCTCCTGGGGAGCAGTACAGTCACCAGTACCTTCGAATTTCACTAAGTTAAACATCTTTAGCTTAGGGGAACTGAGACAGACAATGGTGTGAGAAAAGGGGCCTGGGGCACGGACAGTTCCTGGAGAGTAGGAGTCCCTATATCCTGGCCTGAGATGGGTTTGGGGATGGTGGGGGAGGCAAGAGCCCTCTTGTGAGTCACCCTCCTAAAAAAATCTGCTTTCTCTCACATCAGGCTGAGCACTCCACACTTCTTGCTTTTTTGATCTTCTTTCACCTGGGAACCCCTTAGCTCAGCACTGGTGGCAGAAACTTCTGGAGACAACCACCCATGAACCACACAGCCCAGAGGGAAAGTTCTGAGTTTTTTTTTTTTAATTAGTTGTAGCTACTCCTGCTTTCAAGAAGATATGAGAGGTTTAGAGTGAGAGGCCCTGAACTGGGGATGTGCAGGATGGCTGAGATCTGGGGTGCAGGGGGGTAGGAGGGACGAGTCAGGAGGGAGCTGTGATGGAGTGGGGAGTGGGG